CCGAAATAGACGCTCTGAAAATGAAAGGACTTTCCCACAGAGTAGGGACCACTGCCTCCCACGCCTGGAAGTATCTGGAAGCCTGCGGGTGTCAGATTCTACCTCACTTCCTTGTTTCTTCTTAAAAAAAAAAATTAAATTTGTATTTTAAAAGGCAGAGCGAAAGAGAGACAGAAAGCAAGAAATCACCCTCCAGGGGGGATGGCCACATTGCAATCCCTTCTCCTCCATTCTCCTCTTGGGATCTTGGGCATGCACGCACACACGCCCAGCATGAGTTTTTTGTTTTGTTTTGTTTTGTTTTTTGAGGTTTTCGCTATAGGGCGCGTGCGCTCGCCAGACAGACAGAGAGAGACAGAGACAGAAAGCGAGAAATCACCCCCCAGGGGGGATGGTCACGCCGCAATCCCTTCTCCTCTATTCTCCTCTCGGGATCTTGGGCACGCACGCACACGCGCCCAGCGTGTTTTAAGCCACCAGGTCCGGGACGCGAACTGTGGTCGACTATGTGGGAGTCCAGCGACATAGCCATTATGCTAACTGCTGGTTCCCTCCCCAGCATGAGTTTTAAGCCTCAGGCCCGGGACTTGAACCACAGCTGACTACGTGGGAGTCCAACAACATAACCATTACGCCATCTGCTGGTCCCCAGAACCTGCCTCATGTCATCAGCTCCCCCTCTAGCCGTCCTCAGCTGCAGGCCCCAAAGAGTTTGGTTCATCAGGTTTAGGGCCCAGGAGTGTGTATTCCTAACCCAGGGTCCCAGGTGATTATTTTAACTGATATACTTTTTTTCTTTTTAGTTTTATTTTTATTTATTCCATGAGTCAGAGAGACAGAGGGATAGACAAAGACACAGCACCCCTGACAGTCTTCATGCCACAATCCACCCCAGCATCAGCAGGTTTGACGGTGGGCATACGCATGTCTGGTGTACTGTAGGCGGTCTCTGGAGGTGAACCAGCAGCCTTCTCATGTGGGTCTGCCTGGCAGAGCATTGCATTGACCACTGCACCACCCTCTAGCCCCCACTTAAAAAAATCATTATTTAATTTTATTTATTATCATTATTTTTTTTTTAATTTGGTATAGGACATACGCACCTACCAGAGAGAGACAGAGAGTGAGAGAAAGTGAGAAAGCAAGCTGCCAGGTCCAGGACTCGAACCACAGTTGCCTGTGTGGGAGTTCAGCACCTTAACCACATGTCACCTGCTGGCCCCTGGCTTCCACTTTTTTATTTTTTTAAGAGAAATGTTTTGCTATAGGGCATGTGTGCTCGCTGGAGAGACAGAAACAAAGAGACAGAAAGCAAGAAATCACCCCCCTTTCCCCCCCTCCAGGGGGATGGCCACATTGCTGTCTCTTCTCTTCCATTCTCCTCTCTGGATCTTAGACAAGTGTGCAAATGCGCCCGATATGAGTTTTGTTTTGTTTTGTTTTGAGAGATTTTTGCTATAGGACGCGTGCGCTCGCCAGACAGAGATTGACAGAGAGACAGAAAGCGAGAAATCCCAGGGGGGAGGGGATGGCCACGCCGCAATCCCTTCTCCTCCATTCTCCTCTCGGGATCTTGGGCACGCACACACATGTGCCCGGTGTGAGTTTTAAGCCACCGGGACCGGGACGCGAACTGCGGTCGACTACGTGGGAGTCCCAGCGACATAGCCATTATGTGCTAAGTGCTGGTCCCGCGCCCGATATGAGTTTTAAGTCACCAGGTCTGGGACTCGAACCACAGTTGACTACATGGGAGTCCAGTGATGTAACCATTATGCCACCTGCTGGTCCCTGACCTCCTTCTTTCTTTCATGAGAGAGAGGCAGACAGATGGACAGACAGGTAGCCTCAAAAGGGTCTCAGCATGCCATAATTCCCACCCGGAGACTTCCGGCTACCCAGAACCTTGGACGTGCCCATACCTGGTTGCACCCCATGTGCCAAGGGTGACCAAACTCCAGGTCTTCCCATATGGCTCCAGTGTGGCATGCCATGCCTGCACCACCATGGCTGACTGCCCTGGTGATTCTTACTACTCGTTAGAGCATTAGGGGTTAGGCAGGTGGAAGCACATATTCCCGCCAGAGCAGACAGCCCATGCAAAGGCCCTGGGGCATGAGAGAGTGATGAGATCAAAGAAGCCATCCGCGTCTTCCACAGACCTTGGAACGAAAGCCTCATACCTTCTGCTGAATCTGCAGCTCTGCTGGCTCCTCCACCCCACGGCTGAGCCACGCTCCCCTGGCTCACTGGCCTGGCCACACTGGCTTCTGACAGTCTGGGAAGCAAACCCATTTGCTCGGTTCCTCTGCTTGAAAGGCTCTCCTCTGGTCTTGCCATGGTTGATTCCTTCCCACCCTACTTAAGCATCACCTCCTGGGACCAGCAGTTGGCGTAATGGCTATGTCACTGGACTCCCATGTAGTCGACCGCAGGTCGCGTCTCGGACCCGGTGGCTTAAACTCACGCCGGGCGCATGTGCGTGCGTGCCCAAGATCCCGAGAGGAGAATGGAGGAGAAGGGATTGCAGAGTGGCCATCCCCCCGGGGGGTGATTTCTTGCCTTCTGTCTCTCTGTCTCTCTCTGGCTTTCTGGAGAGCACACGCGCCTTATAGCAAAAACCTCCCCCCCCCAAAAAAAATTACCTCCTTATGGAAAGGCGTCCCTGGCCACTCCTGCAAAGAAGGGGGTCCTTGTTCTTCTCTAGAACTACATACTGTTTGTTTCTTTTGTAGCACAATTCGTTTTAAGCCACCGGGTCCAGGACGCGAACCGAGGTTGACTACATGGCAGCCCAGTGACATAGCCATTACGCTAACTGCTGGTCCCATTGTAGCATAATTCGTAATTTCATAATTACTGAAATCATCTTGTTAACATGTGTTTCCTGTGGTCAGCAGACGGCATGGAAGTTAAGGCAGTTGGACTCCACATGGTTTGTTGTGGGATTCGAATCCCAGACATGGTAGCTTGAAAAACACTCCGAGCACATTTGGGTGTGTGCTCAATATCCCAAAAGGTGGAGGGAGAGGAAGGCACTGCAGCGTGGCCACCCCCCACCCCGGCACGGGCTTTCTCGCTCTGTCCCTTTCTCTCCTTCTGTCTCTGTCTCCACTGAGCATCCATGCCCTATAACAAAAATGAAACCAAATCATGTGTTTCTTGGGGTAAGACAAGCCACAGAAGTAAAGCATGACACTCTGCAAGGCTGACCACCGTGACGAGGTTGCTGGTTCCTGCCTGGAGACCTCCCTGATCACACTGCGCATGCACGTGTCTGTGATCAGGAGCCATATGAGACTGGTTATAGATGGCTGGGTCAAAATCAGAAAGAAAAAACAGAGAGATTGCTGGTTCAAGACCCTGTCGGGGTACCGTCGCCACCTCGTTCACTTTCATCTCCCTCCTTGAAGGACCAACAGATGGTGGAATGGCGACATCGCTGGACTCCCATGTAGTCAACTGCAGTTCGAGTCCTAGGCCTGGTGGCTTAAAATATGCTAGGCATGTGTGTATGCGTGCCCAAGATCCCAAGAGGAGAATGGAGGAGAAGTGATTGCAGCGTGCCCATCCCCCCTGGGAAGGTGATTTCTCACTTTCTGTCTCTCTCTCCCTGTCTTTCTGGTGAGTGCATGCACACTATAGAAAAACAAAACAAAACAAAACCTCTAGGGAACCAGCAGTTAGCGTAATGGCTATGTCGCTGGACTCCCACGTAGTCGACCGCGGTTCAAGTCCCAGACCCGGTGGCTTAAAACTCACGCCGGGAGCGGGTGCGTGC